TATTGGGGCATTACAAGAGGGAGGGGTCGCTGGGGGAGGGGTATTGGGGCATTACAAGAGGGAGGGGTCACTGGGGGGGTATTGGGGCATTACAAGAGGGAGGGGTCACTGGGGGAGGGGTATTGGGGCATTACAAGAGGGAGGGGTCATTCTGGGGGAGGGGGTTGAATACTAGGACTGGAAGGGACCCCTCCCCCATGGCAGGACCAAATACTTGTATGCTAGTATGTGGAGCACATTGGTTGTATTACCTGTTCATGGCATTTTGCTTACACCTTACCAAGGGCACTTTGTTTTTGTTTCATTGAGGGCTTATGGGGTGATGTAATTAAGTTAGGCACTTTAACCTTTTTTAGGGCTTTTCGGGTGTAAGGTGCCTATTTTGGGGAGGGATCATTGTAATCTGCTCCCCTCTGTTTCATTGCTCTGAGGAAGGGCACGTCTCTCTCGTGGGTCCTTGCACTGTATCCTTGATTCTGGCAGCTCCCCTTTATGTGCTGGTGGCCCAGATGGTGTCAGAGACACTGAGCACCCACAGCCAGGCTCCTTCATCCCCTGTGCTTGGCCTTTCTTTCTCTGCACAGGCGCCAGGGTCTGGTGGTTCCCCTACCTCTGGCAAGCCAAAATTATCGGAGCTCGTGACAAGAACTCATTAAAACAGAGGCTGAAATGCCTCCACACAAGTGAGTTCATTAGCAGAATGAAATGCTCTGGCAAGAGCAGTGCAGTAAATATACAGCCATGACGGAGTTAAAATGAAGCCCAGAGAGTGAGCCTAGTTCTGCCAGCCTGAAGGAAACTGCAGTATATACCAGTTCTGTGCTTGTACATAGTTCCCCTCCAGGCTGGCACGCTGCTTTAGATGCTACTAGAGAGTTTCCTCTGCCAGTGGCTTGTATGCTAGTTCTGCAGGCAGAAAACTCTCCTGCCTGATGTAAACTAGGAGGCAGTACTTGAACAAGGCTCTCTTACAGAGTTGGAAGTGGATTTTGTGCTCTTGTATGGTACCAGCTCAACACCCCTGAGGACTGAAGTTCTTGTCTTCAGCTCCAGAGTGGGTCCAATATGCCAGTGTTGCTTGCTCCTGCCCTTGACAAACCATGTCTAGGGATGAGAAGCAAGTTCAGACTCTGTGGTTCATTTAGTCTTTGGCCTCTCAACTGAGAGCACTGACAAGGTGGCTAAATGGTGCCCGTTGCTGAGGTGATTTTGTGATCTTCTGCCTCTCTAGCATTATTGCTGTCCACAATACATTTCACAGAGGCAACTGAATATCCAATGACAGTAACATCTTTCACTCACTGCTAGATGAGGAATGTAATAGTGTAGTCGATTAACTGATTACTCGATAAACAAAACTTTATAGACGAATGCTATAGACTACATGCATTCCCCCGCCAATAAATTTAGCAGGCTGGTCAGCAGCCCAGCTGAGTCGTGGCTTGCGTTGAGTCTGGGACCTACCCCACTGCAGCTCTGCATTAAAAGTGTATTAGGAGCCAGGCAGGTGGGCAGGCAGCCTGGTTCAGTTCTGGGTCTGGCAGCTCGTGCTGGGTCAGGGAGCTCAGACCCTTCCCTGGACAGGGGCTGCTGCCACCCTGTGCTTCTGCCTTTGTATCAGAGGTAGTAGCGTGGGGTGACAGGCAGCCAGTCCGCGAGGGGAGCTGGTTTTTAAACTGGTTCCCCTTGTGGACCAGCTCCTGATATAGAGGCAGCAGCGTGGAGTGGCAGGGGTCTCCTCAGGAGTGGGGCCAGAGCACACTGGCTTCCAGCCCCACCCCCAGGAACTATAGACTAGTTGACTAATCAATAAGAATTATTCAATTAACTGATATTTAACATCCCTATACTGGATTTGAGTTGGCAACGCTGCTGGTGAGTGCTCTGTGTCTATTACCAGTCCTCTGACCCAACCAGTCCTCTTGGAATGCTTTCTCTGAGGCTTAGATCCCTTAGGAAAGAATCAGTTTTGAAAAGCAAAAAATGGAAACTTTAAATATCAAGGTTTTTAATTAGCTAAATGTGAATAATGCAATTGGTACCTTAACTTTTTATTTTTATATTAATGCATTTATTATATGGTATCCCACATCTTCCATTTCAATTATTCCAAAGATTTTCATAGTGGCAGCATATAACTGCATTGGAAAAGTTTGAGGGCTGAGGAAATGTAGAGACTCTTGAGTAGCAGGCAACTGTAGAGGGCTAGGCAGTTTGAGGCTTTGATAGAATAAGCACATTTGGTAGATATTTCTATTGAAATGATCAGCATTCAAATACTAGATTGTGGTGACATTTAAAATATAACTCTGTTTTCAGATATAATGAACAGAAACGAATAAAGCAATTTACACTGCAAGTCATTAGTACCGTTGGAAATATAGCCCAGTCTCATGAATTTCCAGATCTGTTCACTGATTACTGGAATATGTTGCAGTAACCTGTTAACATGAGACAATTTATTTTTTGCTGTAGAGATATCACTTGTCCCCTTAAAACCAATATTTATTGGATTTTGAGCAGTTAACTATGTTCAGAGCTGTTTTATTATTTATACTGATATGTGGACAAGGTAGTAAATCAAATCATTCTATGCTAATTTGGGGGAGGGGTAAGAGGAGAGAGGAGAAAAATACAATCAGTGATACCCAAATAGAGAAGAAAAAATTAGAGAAATTTTATCTTCATTCTTCTTCGTGAGGGTTTTAAAAAGTTGAGAACAAAATGAATATTAAAGCTACATGAAACAGCAATCTGTTTCTGAAAGGGTGGTTGAATTGACAAAGACTCTGTGGAGGAGGGAGTAGCATGGGAAATTGGAGATCTCTTGCTATAATAGTACATCAAAACTGCTGATATTACCTGGAAAAATAAAAATTCATCTTTAAAGGTACACTGGTAAGATAAGTGTTACCATGTGAAAAAAATCCCACTTATGCCATATTATTAACAATATAGTAGACCAGTGTTTCTCAAAGTATCTTGTGTCAATTGCTGGGAAATTTTACTTTTAGGCATTCAGTGTTGCACTATATCTAGAATGCAAGCACTGCAACATGATTTTAAAATAAGTTTCCATTTATGTATGCGTTTGCATCTGTGTACTTTTAACTCCTGGAAACATGTCTTTTGGCCTTAGGTTTGTAAAAGTATTTTGACAGTAAAAACTAAATTTTGCACCAGATCTCACCTGATAATGCTTCTTTAACAGTCTTATGATGTGTGAGGGATAATGGGTAGGCTTTCTTGAACAAATCCCACAATCTTTCAAAAAGGAGATTTACTAATAAGCAAACAGATTTATTCCTTAATTTCTTACAGCTACTATTCCAGTTATCCATCTCTGTTAAGCAGATAGGAACAGCTGACATGCATCCAACCTAGGAAGGGCAGCCCTTATTTTGTAGCAAAACAATGACCTTTTTTTCCTCTTTTCTCTCCAAGAAGCTGTTCTGGCCCCTACTATTTCAGTGTTGGTAAATGGTGCGTCCTGATGGGTTTTTCAGCCCATTTGGCCCTGTTAATGATTGTTAAGTTTTGGCAGGTATGAACTTGTTGTCTAAGCTTTTCAGTAACAGCTCTCTGTTTTTTGTCCCCCAACTCCATTTGGATTTGATATGTGTTGTACCCTCACACTTTTCGTTTTATACTGTACCTTCACCTCTTGGTTCTATGATTTTCCCCCTTCTTCCTCTTTTTGCTTGAGGCCTGGCATCCTTTATATAAAATTATTTGAGGTTCTTCTACGATCCCACTTCCTCAAAGGCTCCACATAGCAGAAATTATCCCTCTGGCCCAGGAGGGAAGGATGTAACTCCCTTTGTGGCCTGTGAATGCTGCTCATGCAGTCAGCCGGAGGGGACTGTCAGACAAGGCGCTTACTTCCCTCAGGAGCTGAGAGGGCTGTCAGCTCTTAGCAGCATTCAGAGTTCTGCACCTATGTTACTATACTAAAAATTCCCAGAAACACACATATGCACCCTCTTTAGTGTGAGTGTTGGGGTGGCCTCAGCTGCTGTGAAATGAAGGGGAAAATTCAGACCCCGGAAAAATTGGCCTTTGATAGCAGCAATTGTGGTGCTTGCCCCACTGCCAACACGTGCCAAGAAAACTTTACCTTTCCACCTCAAGGGGCTGAAAGGAATTCATCCGTGAACAGTCAGTTCCTACCACCGCCTTTGGCAGGTTGGTGGTTATGTGACTAGTCAAGTGACTTGGCTTAATTGTTCCCCGCTACCCTCCCCATCACAGATAAGTGTATCTTTTCCATGGCAAATTGCCAGGTGCGTAGATTCAGTATATCAGTTAAACTTTATTAAACAGAGAGAAAAACACACACACTGGGGAGTTCCCTGTTCTGTGTACCCTCAACGTGTTATAAATTCACTGTGTATTTCTCTTTCCAATTGACTGCTCCCATCACAAAGATGCCAGCCTGAGGGGTTCATGGTGGTTTCACATCCATAGCACAATGCTGAAGGACAGAAAGGGACAGAAGTCACCGGGTGCTGATTTTTCCGAGGGAGCACCCTCCTTAATGCAATTATATTTCTATTAGATACTTCAGCATTATGTAAAGAGACACTGTCAGCTAGTTCAAGGCTCAACATGTATTTATTTATAGTTAAAGTGATTTATAAAACCATAGAAATGTGCTCCCCCTGAACTGGGAAAAACCCAAACTACTTTAGATTGCAAGGTGGTCAGGGATCATAGGCAAAGCAGGGCATAATAAGTGAATATAATATTTACCCTTCTTTAGGACCTTCCATCCAAGCAATTCAATCTGAATCCTTCCAGTCCCCTCTGTGAAATAGATCAATAGTTCTCATTTTACAGTGGCAGAAGCTGAGCCACAGATGAGTTAAGCAATGTGACCGAGGTTACACAATGAATCTGTGGTAGAACATGTTCCTCAGGATATAAGTCAACCTCTAATTGAAGGAGTTAGGAAGAAACATTCTCCTGTAGCAAGCTGGTATACAACTGCCCATTTCCAGGTTTCTACTCCTTTTTCCGGGCCATGTATTAGGGATGTAAACTAGCATTTCAAATGTTAACCAGTTAACCGCCTGCTGCAGCGCAGGCAGTGGGCTGCTGGAGAGCCCCCTGCCCATGGCATGGCACGGCACGGTGGACCTGGCTGGGCTGGAGCAGCTCCTTGCCCACAGAGCGCCAAGCACCAGTTAACCAATTACCAGTAAGCATCACGCAGTAAAGAGTGATGCTTACCGAGTAACCAGTTAACTGGTTACCCATTTACATCCCTACCACGTACTGCTGTCAGAGGTGGGATACTGGGCTAGATGACCCCAGGTTGGAGCCTGTCTGGCAATTCGCAGGATCTGAGTGCAGAGTTATGAGAAATGGTTCAAAGACAGGCAAAATGCCCTTCTGTTGGAAACTCCACTGCAAGCTCATTTAGAGAGTCTGTTTATCAGAAACGTGGCAAGTCCCTTTCACCTGATGCCATGTGGCTAACAGCATCAGTGTCAGCTTCTTAATGCAGAGGCAGTTCTCAGCTTGCTCTTGGATATGGCAGTTTGGAACTTTGCTGGATCCCCTCGCCAATGGCTTTCTTTAAGCTCCCGGTGGGAGGCGGGGTGGTTCTGTGCCTTTACCCACAGTCTCTAAGTTTTATTTTTGTATTTAGTCCCTTTCACCTGATGCCATGTGGCTAACAGCATCAGTGTCAGCTTCTTAATGCAGAGGCAGTTCTCAGCTTGCTCTTGGATATGGCAGTTTGGAACTTTGCTGGATCCCCTCGCCAATGGCTTTCTTTAAGCTCCCGGTGGGAGGCGGGGTGGTTCTGTGCCTTTACCCACAGTCTCTAAGTTTTATTTTTGTATTTATTGGCAGGGAGTACGCTCTTTCCCGATTTCTGTCATTGAAGTCTTCTTCCCCTCTTGCTGTGCCACAGCAGAGAGTGGCCTTTTGATTGGCCATTGGATCCCAGAACAGAACTCTGCTGTCATCCTTGCTGTGGTCCACTTCCCTTTTATTCCTGGCCAGGTGAAGCAGTATCTCTCTGAAGTCCAGCAAGTGACTCAGGTCAATACGTGTGTGCTGGGCTCATGGACGAACAGCAAACAGGAGAAGGAAGAGGTCCTGAACAAGTTCCTGGAAGATCTCAGCTCAATCTTTTCCCACGAGCCCTGGATTCAGCTCAGCAAAGAGAGTGACAGCAAGGTTTGGAGCTGCTATATCTTTCAGAAACACCCCAGCAGCCCTATGGAAGATGAATTCATCTTAGTATATTATGACCAACGCAAGGTAATGCTTTCACAGCTGCATACCGCAGACAACCAGGCTACCTCCGCTGATCACAAAAGAAACGATGCCTCAAAACTAGCTGCTGTGTTTGACACAGTTGCAGAGAGCAAGATACTGTTCATGACGGACAGATATGATGATGGGCCCATCAAACTGACTCACTGGCAGTCCGAAGGAGTGGAAGCCAGTATTATTGTGGAGCTGATGAAGCAGGCTTCTGGGCC